ATCAGGCCAAATGTATCTGGCTGACTTGTGAGTCCCACATTCATCTTGAATGATGAGGAGTGGAGCAGAGGATCTGCAATGAGCAGAGTACAATGGAACCAGGAGAGAGATGGATGCCCAAGCACCGGTGGCGCATTCAGCACATAGGGCTTCGCTCCACTAGTCAACGTCCAACAAGGATCTGTACTGGCTCCTAGACCAGATACGTCTTGACTGATCCAACATTTCAAACATATCGGACCTCTTACAGGTCCATATACATGTAGTATGCTGTGCAGTGGAGCGAGGTCCATAGTCACGTGAACATTTGAGAGTTCTTTTTCGTCTATTTGGCGAGTCATTTGCTGTTGCGAGGAACTGGCAATAACATCCAGCAGGCCATCTGTAGTGAATGGCTGCCGAGAATGGTGAAGGCGTAAATTACAAGGCCAGTCCATAAAGGAAACACTTCGGTTCTAGATTGAATCTGGACGGGTGATCGTGCAGAACAGAACGAAGAAGCTCCTGACACTGGAAAGAGAATCTCCGTAGGAGGAGTACAGGTTTGAGTAGTTTCCACACTCTTCTGTGTGGCGAGATGCGTGGCTGATACAGGGGGTGTCTTTGGAGGGTGTTCAAGTGTCAATCTGACATATCGATATCGACTTCTTGCCCGGGACTTGCGAAGGCTCGATGACGATGATTTCTGATTTCCCACCGGTCAAGCATCAAGGGACAGAGAGAGTCGCTTCTTGAAAGCTTTTATGTATGTTCGTTTTAAAATCTTGCAGCGCAGCACCGTTTCGAATAGTCGGTGGCGATGATCTCCCGTTCAATCATCAAGGACAAAGACGGACTTGACTCGGAAGACGATCACTTCGCCGCACAGTACTCTTTTCAACTTGCACGGAACTCGCGAATAGTTGGTGGCGATGATGGCTCGTTCAATCATGGAGGACAAAGACGGTCTTGACTCGGTACGCAATCGTGGAGAGAGTCTCTTCTTGAAAGCGTTTATGTATGTTTGTGTTAATCTTGCAGCACAGCGCCATTTCAAATAGTTGGTGGCGATGATTTCCCGTTCGATGATCGAGGACAAAGACGGCCTTGACTCCGAAGACGATCGCTTTGCAGCACAGC